GAAGCAGTTTCCATGATGCGAGCATCCCCTGGTCGGGCCCCAGGAGGAGGGAGCGGAAGCTGGATTCTCTCCCCCAGTGGGCTCCCGAGAGTAGCGGCTTGCCATCCTGCGGCCACCAGAGGCCTCCAACTAACTGAGGGACTTGGCAGGGGCCCGGCCACTGCCGCAAACCTGCAATTTCACGGAGGTAAGAGAGCCTCGGAGGACCCTAATCAAAAACACAGGGACTAGAAGCTCATAGAAAAAAAATGCTCACTTCCTGATGCCTTTTCCTTGGTGTCCCGTGGAAGCTCCGGCTCCCACCGGGTTTGAATTGATCTGTGTGACCCCACTGCCCCTCGCACCTCCCACGTGTGACCTTCCCAGCCCTCCGTTTGTCCCTGACCCCTCCCAGTCTGGGGCAGGGAAGTGTGAGTCCCCTCAGAGATTTGACACTTTATCCTTGCAAAGGCCTTCTGAGAAGGTGGCCCCCTAACTCCGTTGAGCCCTCTCTGAACTCAAGCATTAGCGTGTCCTCCTGTCATCCCTCCAGGGGGTGTCCCTTCAACAGGGTGCTCCCAATGCCTCTCAAAAGGGATCCCCCTCAACAGCTTAAGTCCCACTCCCCTCAGCTCTTGTCTGCACACACCCTCTGCTCCCTGTGCATGCCTCAGTTTATCCACTCAGAATGCCTCCTCCTCCAAGCAGCAAGCCAGGAGGACCCATGCTCACCCAGAACTCCCAATGCCCTGGCCCCACTGTGGCCACTTGCACCAGCTAACGCTGCCCTGTGACCTCGGCCCTCGGTGGGAGGTCTTATCTCCCCAGCCACACCGTGGCTGTCGGAGGCCGAACCCCACGTGCTGTCCATGATGCCAAGTGCCAGGCTGGGCACCGAGGACATGAGACACACACCTGCCCCCTGGCGCTCGTCCACTCTGTGGCTCAAGCCTCCGTGTCCTGGTTTACAAGGAGAGCCGGTCCACTGTCTCCTCTCCTCGGAAAACCCGAGAATCCAGCCGGAGGGGCCTTGGGGGTCCCATCCTTGCCAGGCGACTGTCCAGCACCCGCAGAGAAGCAGATTGGGGGCCCCTGCACCTGAAAGGAACATTCGATCTCGGGGCCCCATCATCTGTGCTTCCTGGGGCCCCGCCGCAGAGGCTGACGTAGGGGTCTAGGGTTTCCTGGGTTGTGCCCACTGGCCGGAGGCTTGCAGTCTGTGAGGATGGAGGGAGGGGTTCCAGGCTGCCTGTTGCTGGGAAGCCCTCCCTCCATGTTGGTGGACACCTTCCAGGCAGAGTTTGAGTTTTGGGAATGGTTGGGGCCATGTGCGGGCCCCTTCCTGCTACGCAGCCCTGTGGGCCCTGTGCCTGGGGGTCCGCCCCGCACCCTACCCGCTCGGGCCACCTGTAGACAGGCTCTGTTGCCCCAGGCGGCCGGAACACATTGACACAAGCTGGGTGGGTTAAACCACAGAAATCCCTTCCCAATTTGGGGGCCTTTGGGGGAGGAGGCCAGAAGTCCAAACTCGAGGTGTGGGCAGGACTGGGTCCTCCTGAGGGCTCCTGCAGGGCCAGGGGTGGAGTCTGCTCCCAGTTCGCTCCCAGCCTCTGCGCCTTGCCCAGCTCCCCAGCGCTCCCGGGCCTGTAGACGGCCCATCAGTCCTATCTGTGCCCCGCCCTCGCACGGCCTCGTCCCCGAATGTCTGCATCTGTTCTTTGCTGTCATCGGATTTATGCCCTCCCCCCACCCCTGCCACGATGGTCTCATCTTGCCCCTTCCCTCAATCCTGTCTGCAAAGGCCCTCATTCCACAGATGGTCACACTCACAGGTCCGGGGAGACGTGTCTCCGGGGCCACTGCTCAGCCCGCCATCCCAGGTTAGCCCGAAGAACAGTCCCCTCTCACGAATAAGAGCTCATTTAATGGGTCCAAACTGGTGCCCTGGGACCAGATCAGGAAACTGAGTCCGAGGCTGACGGCCAGCCGAGGCCAAGCTCGGTTGGGGCAGGGCCAGGATAAGAAAGTGGACAGCTGCTCCCCCCACTCCCAGGGGCTCCTGTGTGATTGTGGGGGTCTGCCCTGGCCCCACCAAGCACCTCAGACCCTGAGAGGCCTTTCCTCTTCCTGCTGACTCCCCTGCCGTACTGCCCCCGGCTTGCCCTGTGACCGTGGGTGGCTCCGCATCCCGACGTGTGGCCTTGGTAAGGGCCAGCTTGTCCTGCCTCCTCCTGGTCAGCAGGGGCCTGGGACCGGCCATTCCGGGTGTGGAACCTGACAGCTGAGCCACTTGGGACAGAGCCACACATCCGAAGGCCTGGCCAGACACTCCTCTGTCAGCATGACCTGCCCACGGCCTGCAGGGACGGCGGATGGAGTCTATGAGTGAGTCGGCCATCGGCCATCTGCACGGCCTGGAGCAGGGGCAGGGCCCAGGAGCAGAGCCGATCCCCCTTCCCTCCTGACCCGCTCCAGGCTGCAAGCCAGGCTGGCGCCCCACTTCACAAGGGTGCGGCCTCCGAAGTCTGAATGGGCGAGGCTGCTTCTGCCTGACCCCAGAGCAGAGCTGGTGACTCATGGTCGAGGCCTCCTGGGAGGGCTGACAGGAGGTGGGAAGGGCATCTGGCCACAAATAGTTGCACACGTGCTAAGCTTGCAGCCCCTACAATGTAGAGGGAGGGGAGGCCCCGGGGTGGGTGCCCCCACCCTGGAACCAGTGGGGGGCCCTGGCTGGGCAGGGGGTACCCGGGCTGGTTATGGAAAGGCAGGCTGTGGTGCCCACCGCCCAGGAGGGGCCCCGACGTGGCCCTCTCTCCCTCCCTCCCCTAAGGCAATATGAGACATGAGCAGGACAGACAGGGCTGTCCTTGGGGACAGACGGACACATGCTCACCACAGGCCTCTGGGAGTCTGGGGAGCAGGTCTCAGCAAGGGGAGCCCCCAGGCTCCCCTAGGAGAGGCAGAGGGAAACCAGAGCAGAGACCTGAGTCTCCAGCGTGGAGAGGGGTAGCCCTTCCACCCCCAAAGGCCACGTTTCTGATCACTGGTGGTGGGGGGGGTGACGTGGCCTCCTGGGCAATGGTCTAGGGCTCAGCAGGTTGCCATGCAGGGAAGGGCCTGGTGGCCGCTGTGACCCCCAACACACTCTGACCTTGCCCGGACTCAGGGCTCCCCATGGGACAGAAGTCCTTCTCTGCCTGTAGCTCTGGGACACGCGGGGCTGCGGGGCCCGGGTGGTTTCGGTGGTGAGTGGTTCTGTGTCGTCTGCCTGTTGCTGGCTGAGTTCTAAGATGGCTTCTCCCCAGGAGAACCCCCAGGTTGGGGGCCCGGGGCCCACTCGGGCGGCAGGCTCTCTCAGGCTGAGAAGCGGCAGACTCGGCTTTGGCGGCTCCACCCCGGCCACAGGCCTCCTCTGCAGACTATCCCCAGGTCCCCCCACTCGGGACCCTGTCCCAGGGACAACTCCGGATGAAGCCCCAGCTCTCAGGGTCGCGTTCCTTTGGTGGAAGGAGCCGGAGAAGCTCCGCACCCGTGGGGCTGGGTGGGGAGGCAGGTGGGGGCCACAGAGGACAGGCCCGTCACTCATGGGAGTGGCGGGCAGGCCCGCTCCACAGGACAGAGGGCCCCGCAGCCAGCGGCTCTGTGTGGGAGGGGTCCCCGCGGCCTTGGCAGCTCCCTCAGATGCTGCCCTTCGCTCTGGAGCCTGCTCCTGCCTCACTTAGCCCGTGGATACGCCGTCCAGCGCCACGGAGCGGGAGGCCCTCCCACAGGGACACCTGGTAACCAGGCCTCTGCCCCATGGCTGACCTGCCCTTTGCACTTTGCGAGGGCTTGGAAGGGGGGAAGAGTACTGTCCTTGAAGGCCTCCAGACTAGTCCCAACCCCATGGCGTGAGGGTGGCCCCGAATCTGTCGTGGGGTTGTGAACTTCTCCGTAAGGACACACAGGTGCCCGCCCCTACCACGGGCTCTGCACTCCACCTGCCGTTCGACTCTGGGCATTTGTCCTTGTGTCCACCACCCTGTACTCCAGGTAAGGAGTACCCCACGCCCATGACAGTGGGACGAGTCCCCGTGCCCTGCCCCCAGGCTCTCCTGTCTGCTAGCGTGCAGGCCCCGTGCTCGCTGCCCTGAGGCTGAAGCTTGCAGGGGGTTCACTTGTCGGCTTCCGTGGAGGCCAGCAAGACTCAGATCTTCCCTCCAGCGTAGGCTTGCCCAGGCCCAGGGAGGGGCGGCTGGGGCCTGCTCGTGGGTCTGGTCCCACCCTCTTGGCTAGGGTCAGAGAGCCTTGGGCTGGGAGCTGGCCCAACCCCAACGGTGGGAGGACAAGGAAGGCCTTCAGGGACACCTGGGTCCACAGCAGGGACGTCGGCTCGCAGACCTGGACCCTCCCAGTGTCCCTGTGTGTGGACCCCAGGCCTGGCTCTCAGCTATCGTGCTCCATTTTGGGGTGTGGATGGTGTTGTGGGTTGAATTGTATCCCCCAAAGAGATAGGTCCACATCCTAACCCCCGCTGCTCTGAAAGGGACCTTATTTGGAAACAGGGTCTCTGCGGATGTCCTTGGGTTGAGATGAGTGCAGGCTGGAGCAGGGTGGGCCCTAAATCCTTGGAGAGTGTCCTGAGCAGAGACAGAAGAGGACACACAGACACAGAGGAAGCCATGTGAGGATGGAGGCAGAGACTGGGAACCCCAAGAATGGCCAGCAGCACCAGGAGCTGGGAGAGGGCCGTGGGATGGTCCCTCCTGGAGATCTGCCAGGGGGAACACGGCCCTGCCACCCTCACGCCATGGGGTTGGGACTAGTCTGGAGGCCTTCAAGGACAGTACTCTTCCCCCCTTCCAAGCCCTCGCAAAGTGCAAAGGGCAGGTCAGCCATGGGGCAGAGGCCTGGTTACCAGGTGACCAGGTGTCCCTGTGGGAGGGCCTCCCGCTCCGTGGTGCTGGACGGCGTATCCACGGGCTAAGTGAGGCAGGAGCAAGTTCCAGAGCGAAGGGCAGCATCTAGACCGCCAGGTTAGTGTTGTTTACGCCTCGGTGTGTGGTGCTCTGGGTGGTGGCCCCCGGACACTGGTAGAGATGGGGAGATACCCAGAAGCAGCTGTCTCCACCTGGGGATCACCCCCTTCCCGGTCAGGGGGTGCCTGGTGGGGCTGCGGAGGGCCCCGCTCGGGGTCCAGCTGCACACCAACCACCAGCCCGGCCTGCTGGCCCTGACCACCCTGGCAACGTCCCTCCACCCTCCCCTACTCCAGAGAGGCCCTCTCTGGTTTCCTTTCCTCTGCCCCTGTGTCCACCCCTCCACTCCAGCTGTCCCCAATGACCCCCGCCCAGCACCCTGCCACCCTCCCTACTGTCCCTGCTTCCAAACCCTTCCACATCCTGCTCTTGAATGGATAAAGACAACGTGGCATATAGAGACAATGGAATATCACGCAGCCATCAAAAACAAGGAAATCTTGTCATTCACAACGATGTGGATGGAACTGGAGGGTATTATGCTAAGTGAAATAAGTCAATCAGAGAAAGACAATTATCATATGATCTCAGTCATATGTGGAATTTAAGAAACAGCACAGAGGCTCATAGGGGAAGGGAGGGAAAATAAAACAAGAAGAAATCAGAGAAGGAGACAAACCATGAGAGACTCTTAATCATAGGAAACAAACTGAGGGTTGCTGGAGGGGAGGGGGGTGGGGAGGATGGTGTAACCGGGTGATGGGCATTAAGGAGGGTACAGGATGTAATGAGCACTGGGTGTTACATAAGACTGATGAATCACTGACCTCTACCTCTGAAACTAATAAAAAAAAATAAAAAAATAAGGAAATCAAAATTTAAAAAAAGAAAGAAAGAAGAAAGAAAACCCTCATCTTTGCAGGTTTCCCTGGCTACTCCTGGGCTCCTTGCAGAGGATCTGATCCGACCACCCCCCACGTGCAGCTCTGGGCCGGATAGGATCCAACCCATTTGAGCCGCAGGCGCAGGTGGCCCTGGTTCAACCATACGCCATGCCCTCGGTCATCTTGGAGGGACACGCTCTCTTTTCCAAGCTCCCCAGCCCATCCCCTCTGCCTCCCCCCTGCCCATCCCACAGGCTCCCCGTCCCCCCCTTGCCCCAGCAACAAGCCCTACTCCACACGAGTGGACGAACCAGGGTGTGGGGCCCGTGCCATGGGGAGGAAGGAGGTGGCCTGACCAGGGGGACACCCTCCTACTGTGTGCAGCCGCGGGATTAAGTGTCCCGCGTGCACGGTCCCGGACCCTTCTGGAGGGAGGTTATTGTCCTTAAGATTCAGACGGGGAATCCGAGGCTCAGCCAGGGGGTAACTGCCTCATGGTGCCTTGCCGCTGTGGAGGGCAGAAACCGATTCCTGCATGGTTCCTGTCGCTGGGGTGACAAATGACCACTCACTCGGTGGCCTGGCACACACAGATTTCTCCTCTTACAGTCTCCTGGGTCCAAGGTCCTGCAGGGTCTCACAGGGCTAAAAGCAAGGTGTGGTGGGGCTGGCTGCTTCTGGAGGCTCCAGGGGAGAATCTGTTTTCCAGCTTCTAGAGGTATCTGCACCCCTCGGCTCGTGGCCTTCCCCCCATTCACAGCCAACATCTCTCTGACCTTGATGCTCCTTCCCTGCCTCTTCCAGTTAAGGGACCCTGGCAGCCTGGGGCCCGCCCAGAGGATCTAGGACACCTTCCCACCTTCGGGTCAGGGAATCAGCGACCTGAAGTCCCCTTTGCCGTGGAAGGTAACACATTCCCAGTTTCCAGAATGAGGATGTGGACAGCTTTGGGGCCCACTCTGCCCGCACTGTCTCAGCTGACCCATAGGCACGCACGAGCATCTGGCCTTGCCAAGGACACAAAGGTTCCTCCCTGCCCGTCCCCCCCCCCCCACCCCCCCGCTTGCCTTGTCCACGGCACCAGGCCCGGGGTGGCCCCAGGAGGATGGCTAGGGCACAAGCTGCCCATTGTGATTCCGTGGGTGGATCCCACAGGGCCTGGCAGGCCTGCGGCTGGCGTCCTCCTGGCCGGGTAAACAGGCCTTTTTTCGGGCAGCCAGGTCCCCACCCTGCCCTAGGCTGGCCAAGACCAGACTCTGGGTCTGGCTCCCCTGCCTGCCTGTTGGGCGATGTGCTATCACTTGGTCACCATGACATGGGTGCCCTGCCATCACCAGATGCGGCACGATGCTCGGGCCTGGAGGCTCTGGGGAGGGGTCAGCAGAGCCTCCGCGGAGCATTCATTATAAAGCATCGATTGGCAAGGAGGAGCGTGCCATATGTGAATGAATTTTGTTTTAAATGAAAACACGAGATTCTGAAGACGTGATTTTGTCATGGGTACTTGAGACCTCTCCCAGATCCATGGGGCCCAGCCCATGGCTTCCACGGTGAGGGGTGTGCTCAAGGAAAGGGAGCCGCCCCCAAATGCTGCATGGATCTGGTGACCAGCAGGTGCTGGGGCTTTCAGTTGTTGACGTCACTATTGTCACCCGAGTGGGGGGGGGACAGAAGGAGGGAGAGAGGGAGGAGGGGGAGGGCAGGCTTGAGGGCAGGGGCCCTGTGGGGAATAACGTGACTATCACTGTGGTCACACTGAGGGTCGGATCTGGAAGGAATCGAACGGTGCCAGGTCGGCTGTGGAAGAAGCCTGGAGCCCAGAGGAAGGGAAGCAGAGCCCTGAGCCCTGGGCCAGCCCCCCTCCCAGCTGCATGGGTTCTGCAGCCCTCACCTGTTCACTGGGCCAACTCTCAGCCTGTCCTGAGACTGCACCTGTCTCCCCCACCCAGCAGAGGTCCCAGTCTGATAAGTCTTTTGTCCCCAGGGCTCAGGAATGAGGACACTTTGCAAAGGAGCCAGGCCCAGATAGATGACAAAGTCCCACACGTGGAAATGGCATGTCCTGCTTCTGCAGATCCTCCAGATGGGCTGGGCTGGACAGGCCCCGCAGGGATCCCATCCACAGAGTCCAAGAGACAGGAGAGGCTGAGGACGGGCCTAGCGACCCTGTGCCAAGGGCTTGTTCTCTTTGGAAGGTCATGACTGGCTGACAGCAGAGCCCTGGTGGGGAAGGGGAAAGGGGAAAGCAGGGTGGGGGCAGGGGGAGCAAAGGGGGAAGCCAGGCAGGAAGGGAAGTCAGCAGAGAGAGCGGCTTTAGCGCAGAAGAAAGAGGAGAAGCTTTGTGCTTACCCCACCCCCGCAGCGCTGTTTGGAGAGGGCATGGTATTCCCCATGAAGAGGGGTCTGTCTTTCCCTGTCTCCCCCACCCAGCAGAGCCTCCCAGCACCCGGGGGGGGGGGGCAGGGCAGGTTCCAGGGGCCCCTTTGGATCTCCCCTCCAGTCATGGACAAATCCCCATTGCACCCAGGCCTGAGCCCAACAGGCTCCCTCCTACCTGCTCACCACCCCAGCTCCTGGAGTTGGACTCTGTCAGGCTGGGGCCCTTGCTGTCTTGTAGGCCCCCCGGGGCTCCTCAGGGCAGGCTGTGTCCCTGGCCTCAGCCCAGATGCCCTGGGCACAGGTGCAGCCAGCCACTTTAATGGGGTTTTGTGCAGGTGCTGCTGGGACTCTCCAGGATGTGCGTGCTGTGCCTGGCCTGCCACGAGACTGGCATCTCTCAGAATAGGACAGGAAACAGATGGCCCACTTATGGGGGGGCAACGAGATTTGTTAATGAAAAGAGCATTTTCAGAGGTGTTGGCAGGATTGAGGGAACCACCAGAGCGGCTGAGGCATCAAGGGACCCGTGACCACCCCCAGGCCGAAGGAGTGTGGGAAGGCGGTGGTTACCAGAGCCAGGGCCAGGGCCTCAGGAAGGGCCACCTGGTGGGATCTGTGCTCCTACAGCCCGGTGAAGAAGAACGAGTGTCCCTCCCTTCTGCTCTCCTCCATCTGACGTCCTGCCGCGCCCTCCAATCAGCAGGAAGCCCCTGCTGGAAGCCAGAGGGTGAGGGAGTCAGCTGGGCAGAGTCACCTAGCAGGTGGGCAGCCTACCGGGGCACAGTGTAGGCAGGGCAGGGTGGTAAAGGGGTGGTAAAGTCTGGGATGAGAAAATTTATGGAGTGAACAAGTATCTGGTCATTACCCCCCAAATAGTAGCCATTAGACAGTGATCATAATGGTGGTGGAGGTGACGGTGAAGGTGAAGGTAGAGGTGATGGTGATGGTGGAGGTGGAGGTGGCGGAGGTGGAGGAGGTGATGGTGGTGGAGGAGGTGATGGTGAAGGTGATGGAGGTGGTGGAGGTGATGGTGATGGTGGAGGTGAAGGTGGTGGAGGAGGTGATGGTGGTGGAGGTGATGGTGATGGTGGAGGTGGAGGTGATGATGATGGAGGTGGTGGAGGTGGAGGTGGCGGAGGTGGAGGAGGTGATGGTGGTGGAGGAGGTGATGGTGATGGTGGAGGTGATGGTGAAGGTGATGGAGGTGGTGGAGGTGGAGGTGGCGGAGGTGATAGGGGAGGTGACGATGGAGGTAGAGACAAAGGTGGAGGTGGTGCTGATGGCAGTGATAATGAAGTTCCCAGCACTGGAAATGAGGGAAGCCCTTCCCTAGAGCGTCTGGAGCTATCTGCCGGTGTGTTGCTATCTGCTGTCAGGCCAACATGCAATCAAGCTCCGGTTTTCCTTTTGAAACTCTACACAAATGATCGGCCGTCCTCCCCGCCGCCGTCAGGCTGGCTGCCTACACAGAGGGAGGCTGCCTGACCACAGGAGATCGCTGCTGGCCAGGACAGTCCTGCTAGCTGGGAACCCGCCACCTAGCCACTGTTCCCACTGACTGGCGCTGCCCCCTTGAGCCACCGTCAACCACTGAGCACAGGTCACTCTCCGGGGGAGGCTCCAGTGCCCGCAGCTCACCCCCTCCTATCTGGGTTACGTATTCTCCAGGGTCCCACCAGGCTGTTCAGAGGAAGTGGCCTCCGCACAGGGTCCCTCCCGCCCCCGATGCCCCCCCACCCAGACAACATGTACTTCCTCTTCTCGCCCTCCAACCCCTTCAGGTCTCCCTTCTCCGCCCTGGTCCCGGTCAGTGAGTAGCTTCTCTGCCCACTGCGAGCCGTGGGGCCGGGAGCCCGGGGCGGGGGGTGAGGGGACGGGCCAGCTCCCGCTGTGTGCCCATGCCCAATCCTGCTGCAGCCTGCACTCTGCTCCCTTCCTTCCGAGGACCTGGGTTCACACATTCCAAGTCCACATGGCAGAGCCCTTCCTGACCTTGGGTTCTTTCTGCATGAGTTCACTTGGTCACTTTTTAAACCAGTACAAACGTGTATACACACACAGATACACACAGACGCACGCACACCTGCAACGCTCGCACGCACACATTCACACATACTCGCACCGCACACGCTCTGCATCTTCCTTTTGCCCCCTGAGGCGAGGGGCAGCCCCACTGGAGGGTGGTGGGAGAGTGGGGGGGAGTGGGGGGGAGCTCGCCTCGTCACTTCTTGCTGCATTACAAGATGTTGGTCACAGCGCAGCGTCACTTTCAGACCCTGTCCCCACGCAGCAGTCAGGGCTCTGGAAGGGGCTCTGAGGGGCCAGGCCCAGCCTCTAGAAGGTGCCGGGTGCTGCACACCCCCCGGCAGCTGGGGGCCGGTTCTCCAGGGGGCACGGTGGGGCTGCTCGGTAAACGTTGAGTCATTGTGGCACACGTCTCTGAACTAAATACATTTTTCACAAGAGCAAACCGTCCCCGTGACTCCCGATGCCTCCCTGCACCCCTCCAGGCTGGTAGACCGGCTTCCTCGACCGGGACCCGCTGCACCTGCCTCGTCAGTATCCGGTAAGCTGAGCCACGGCGCCCCCGCCTTCCAGCACCACAGCATCCCCCGCGGACATGGTGCGGACCTAATCCAAGTTCTCCTCGTTTCCGGGAAACCCCACCGGCTCCATCCTCAGAACACACCCCGGATCTGCCCACTCCACCCCTGCATCACGCAGCGGACTCCCACCGGCTCCCCTGCCGCCTCGCCACCATCTGTGCTCCACGCCGCAGCTAAGGGGAGCCTGACCACACTCGCGGGTGACGTGGGCCCTCCGCTCACAGCCCCGTGCTGCCTCGATGGGCCCGCACAGGCAAAGCGTGACCGTCCGCTCCAGGCCGTCCCCCTTCTGCCTGCCCTGCTTTTCATGTAGCACTTAGCACCTCTCCATCGACTACTTTAATCCTTTGTCCTCCTTTTGCTTTTGTTCTGTCTTCCCACACTCGGGCACCAATTCCGTAAAGGCATGGGTTTGTCTGTTTTGCTCACTGACATACGATGAGGAGGAGGAGGAGGAAGCCGGGCCTGGCCCAGGCCTGGCCCATGGGAGGTGCTTAGTAAATATTTGCTAAGTGAATGAATGCACGGAATGCATTTCTATTTCCAGCCCCAGCCAGGCCCCTGGAAACCCAGAAACACAGGCAGATCTGCAAAGAAGAAAGCCCTCACTTTCGGGGTTTGGGAAGGGTTTCTGTTTGAGGTGCTGGCTAAGGCACTCTTTTTTCCCTCCTCGAATCTCCCCCACACCTCCTGCACGCCTCCTGCCTGTGGGCTTCACAAGCCGCTGATCTGACAGGCTGGGTTAGGGGAAGGGGGCTCCAGGGTGGGGGCAGGACGCTGAGGCCCCAGACTGTCCCAGCAGCTGTTCCATTTGCAAATGCCTGGAATTCTGGAACTGTTCCCACCCAGCCGAGCCAGGGCCAGCTGAGGGCTGACCCCCTTTAAGCTGACCGCTGGGTGGGCCCTTCTGCCACAACCTTCCCTGTCTGTCCTCGTCCTGGAGCCCAGAAGCCAACCTCGCGGGCATGGCAGGCCCGAGTGTGCCCCCTCCCAGCCCCCCCTGGGGAGAGGCAGCTCAGCCTGGCCCCCCTCACTGTCACACGCCCGATGGCTCAGGCCACTCCAGAAGTCACAAGGCAGATTTTCCATTAGCGTCAAACCCATGTGGGTCCTGACCTGCGGCTGATGCGAATGGAAGGGAGAAGAATTTAGGTAACTCGTGTATGGGGTGGGGGGTGGGGGATCTCCAAGCCAGACCCCTGAAGGGCACTGCACCCCAGCATCAGGGGCGGGGACGGCGCTTTGAGGGTAGACCCTGGTGCACACCCCTCTGCTTCTGTCCATCTGTCTCACGCGCAGACATGGACCCTCCTCAAGGGTGAGCGCTACAGCCTGGGGGGTATAGGGTAGAAGGATTCAATGATTTGCCAGGTTGCAAGAGCCCACTGGATGCCTCTACATACCAAACATTCGTGGAGCACTTACTGCCTAGCACTGTGAGCTCTGTGGGACCCCCCTGGGCCTGAGAGAGTAGGAGGCGCTCCTGGGTGAGGTGTCAGGCCCCGAAATGCAAGATCTTCTAGGGGCAACGGCAGCAACAATTCACGTGCTGTTGGGCGCTGGTGGCTTTCGCCTTCCCAGACACAATGTCCTCTTCATCTAGTACCAAAACCCCCCTTTGCTTCCCTTCAGGGAAACCTCCTCACCCCCTCTTACCCTCACGATGGCTTCTGTTGTCGGTGGGACAGCCTCCCTGTCCCCAGAGCGGTCACAGGAGCTGGCTGGAGTCGCGCGACCCGAGGCCAGCCAACCAGAGAGCGGTCGGTGCTCCCCCACCCACAGGAATTAGCTCAGCAACGGCCATGTGACCCAAGTCCGCACAATCCAAACCCTGCCCAGGATTTTTCTGGAAGGGTGAAGGCAGAACGACCCTGATCCTCCAAGCTGGGAGTTCTGGGGACCCCCCAGGCCTCGAGCTCCCAGGCCATCATCTTTGCCTGGGAGCAAGGCCAGCATCAGTGAAATCAAGTTTAGAGTCTGAGTTAAGGTGGTGCCCAGTGTGGCTTTCCAGATCCTGGATGCGGCTGTGCCTGAAGGTAGCTGCATCCTACACTTGCTAGTTAAATCAACCAGCAAACTCTCTTCTTTTCTGAAATGAGCTTGGCTTGGGGTCCCGTCATTTGCAACCGAAAGGAATCCTCAGTGCCACTGAGCAATGCTAATTCTCAATGTATTGAAACGGGGTTCTGTAGACGGTTATGGGGAGCAAACCAATGAGAGGGTACTGGTAAGATAAAGCCTTCCTGGCTCTGAAAAGTCGGGGAGGGGATCTCAGGTTTGGGCAGATACACGTGCAGACCCCCCTCACCCTTGCGCTGCTTCTGAAACTGCCCATCTAGGCTGGGCCAGCTGAGCTGTTTCCTAAAGAATCTTTGCAAGCAACGAGAATGGACCCTTATCAAAGAATTAATTCCCGGAACTAAGAACGGCATAAAATATTTCCAAACCATGAGTTCCTCCTCCTAAGAATTCGCATGAACATAGTGAAAACCTGGGCAGGTCTGTAAGCCCCTCCAGTGGGGGGGCTGCTCATCCTCTAGACGCGCACCCCCACCTGTCTCCCTTCCCCTCACCGCCCCCCCAGCCACGTGTCTCTGGGGACATGGGCAGGTCTGTGAGTCCTGCCAGTGGGGGGGCTGCTCATCCTCTAGACGCGCACCCCGCCGCTCAGGGCCCTCCTGCCCAGGGGCAGGCTGCGGGGCACCCCCCCACCCCGGCCAGCTGACAGGAGGTGGAGCTACCAGGTGTGGGCGCCTGGGGGAGCCCAGAGCAGGGCAGCGGATTCTGCGGTGTTCTAAGACTCCCCTCGGCAGCCCGCCTCCCCCAGGCCCTCACAGGAGCCACAGAGCATGAGGCAGCGTCCAGCGAACGGAGAAGAGGCTTTCCTCTCTCCAGCCCCTCCATAGACAGTGGTCAGCTGGGCCGGGCAGGCGACTGACACCGGCTTGGTCCGTCCTAATTCCGCGACTCTCCGTGGACAGATGGCCCCGCGCGGCTGGGTAACAGCGCCTGCCCTCGGCCTGGGGCTGACCGAGGTGCCGGAGGCAGCGGCTGCGAGCGCGGGTGCATGATAGAGCCAGGGCTCGGGCCAGGCGCCAAGCGACCATCTGGTGGCAATGGTGTGCTGGTCCCTCGATGAGCAGAAGGCGGGGCGTCCGAGGCGGCCCCAGGGCAGACACAGAGGGACGCACAGATGGAGAGGACACGGGTGCGTCGGTGGGGAGAGCAAGGTGAGGTGGTGGACGCAAGGCGAGTCCCGCTTTGAACTGCTGGGTCTGGGGTGACAGGGCCCCCCCGGAGGGAATGTCCCACCACACCAGCGGAGAGGTGCCTGAGTTCGGGAGGGGCCGGGGCTGGCCACGGGCCTGGTGTGCGGGCCGCCCCCAGCAGCCACGCGCTCCGAGCCGCTTCTGCAATGTTTATGGAAATGTAACTTTGCCCGGGAGATGCGTGTGTAATTGAGAATCTTTTATTGTCTCTTTCCAGTCGCTGTTCTCACTTGAGTGATCACGAGCATGGAGGGAGCTGATTGTGCCCGGGGCGGTCTCCATGGGAACGGGGCCCTGGGGGCCTGTTTCCGCCCCCCCCCCCCCCCCCCCCCGTGCCACTTCATCTGGAGTAGTCCGCTGGGTCCAGAGCAGAAAGTGACCTCACACGTGAGCCCGTCTCTGTCATGTGCCACGTTCTGGGGGCTTAACCCACGCACCTCCCTCTCTGGACGCCAGAGCCTGAGCCCCAGGCATCAGCAGGGCTGTGCTCCCCGGAAGGTTCCAGGGCGGGTCCTGCCTGCCTGTCACGGCTGTGGCCGGTTACCCGGACTCCTCCGTGTTCCGTGGCTTGTGGCACGTCACCCCAGGCTCTGTCACATGGCCTTCTCCGTGTGTGTCTGCGGGTCCTCTGCTCACGAAGACGCCAGCCGTTGGGGTGAGGGCCCCCTCTAATCCCTTATGACCACATCTTAACTTGGTTACATCTACAAAGACCTTATTTCCAAATAAAGGCACGATGTGCTGTTTCAGGTGCACATGAACTTTGGGGGAACCCTGTTCAACCCAGTCCACTGTCCCACGATCCCACACGACGGATGAGGAACCTGATCTAAAGGGTGTCTCCCCCCGCACCCCGCCCCCCCAGTGCCCAGCTTCCCTAGACGCTCCGGGCCTCCCGTGCTTGCCACTGAGCGTGCAAAACTCTCGGGCCCCGCTTCCGGCTGGCTGGGGTCCCCCCTCCGGGGTCCATCCTCCCTCTCCCTCCAGTTTACAGATAGACTGTGAAGTGGACAAACTGGGATGCAGTAGGTGGTGTGTGCTGGCTCTTGTCTAATAAAAGGTAAAAGTATGAACATTGCGTGTTTGTTTATATTTGCAAAGAATCAAAGCCCTGGAATGATAAATCAGAAACTATTAAAAACAGTGATTTTCGGGGTGGGCAGAGTCAGGGAGGACAGTGAAACCTCACTGCATCCACTTAGCTCTAGTGTTCGTATAGAAAAGCCACCTCACCCTTTTCCTGTCTTCCTGACCACGCACCCCAAACACTTTGCTTCTGACACCGTGTCACCAAACGTGGGGGCTCTGGTCCCCACGGCAAGCCATTGTCCACAACCCCAGCTGGGTGTCCTACAATTTAACTCCATTCTGGCACCATCTGCCCAGAGACAGCATCAGATCCCGCAGGTGGGGGCTCAGTCCCACAACACCCTACCCCAGTCCCCCCCACGCAGCCCCGACTTCAGATGCTAACATGAGCAGCAGGTTCCAGCAGACCCCCACTTCCGACCACAGGCTACAGATCAGGGTTCCCACGACCCCTCCTCGGGTCCAACGAATTTGCTAGAACGACTCACAGATCTCAAGGAAACACGTTTACGGGTTCGTTATATAATAAAGGACATGATAAAGGGTGCAGATGAACAGCCAGATGGAGAGGCGTATGGGGCGGGCCCGGGAGGGTCCCGAGCACAGGAGCTTCTGTCCGTGGAGTTGGGGTGCGTCACCCTCTCCGTGTGGACGTGTGCACCCACCTGGGAGCTCTCCAGACCCCGTCCTGTTGGGATTTATGGGGGGTCCTCACGGAGGCCTGCGATGGCTCATTGACCCATTCCCAGCCCCTCCCCCTCCCTGGAGAACTGGGCGGGGGGCGGGGTGGCCTGAAAGTTCCGAGCTTCCAGTCACCGCTGCTCCTTCTGGGGACCAGGCCCACCCAGGAGCCCCCCTGAGTCATCTCATTAGGACAGAAGATGCTCTGAGTGCCCTTGTCACGTGGGGAATGAGGAGGGCCCCAGGAGCGCCGTGCCGGCTGCGGGGCCAGAGACCGGTACGGACGTTCCCTGTGATCTCACAGGGTCTGACTTCAGAACTATGTAAATGTTTTCATATTCAAAAAATAAACTTAAATTGAAAAAGAAAGTATCCTTACCAAAAATACCCCACGTATTTCTATAAATTTATATAAAGTTTGTAACACAACCAAAGGAAAAATTTATTTCAAAGGACTTTGGAGCATGGTATTTAGATTGTTTTTAATGTGATGCTTTTTAAGGACAAAAGACAATAAAGAAATTACAAATATCATTCAGTAAGTCTTACTGTTGGTATGAAATCTGACATTGTTATTCGGAATACTGTGTATTTTCTGAAATAATGCCAATAAGTCATTACACGAATGTTGTGGGGATCCAGTTACCTGTGTGAGAGGAAAGGCATACAAATCAGAATCAGATCCGTTACGTACAACCCCACGATCCTAAATTTGAACTGGAAATGTTAGTGTAATCTCGTGCTTTAAAAACAGAATGCACATTTCCTAGCTCTCTTTTTTTTTTAAAGATTTTATTTATTTGACAGAGAGAGACATAGTGAGAGCAGGAACACAAGCAGGGGGAGTAGGAGAGGAAGAAGCAGGCTTCCCGCGGAGCAGGGAGCCCGATGCAGGGCTCGATCCCAGGATCCTGGGATCATGACCTGAGCCGAAGGCAGACACTTAATGACTGAGCCACCCAGGCGCCCACATTTCCTAGCTCTTGTCACCACACCAGACAGACAGGAAGCAATGACCACAAAATCTGGCACCGAGTACCTGGATTTAGGTCTCCGAACACCTTGCCCCCCTTTTAAAAAGCTCATGTTAGGTCTCCGAACACCTTGCCCCCCTTTTAAAAAGCTCATGTTTAAAAAGCTTTTAAAGAGACACAGTGGGCCCAAGACCCATCTCCTGCCAGAACCAAGGAAAGCGTCATGGCCACTTGAGGTCCCGCCACCGGCCACTGGACAGGCATCTCCCCGGCAGCAGCATTGGGAGAGCCAGGGCCACACCTGACCAAATGCGTTTAATATATGCAATCCATCTGCTCCCCGTGATCCTAAACAAGAAATTAAAAAAAAATTTTTTTTAACCTCACTTGTTCCTTTCGGGGAAATTTTCTTCGGATCCCTTACTCCAGAAACTGGTAACTGAAGAGCAAAAGGAAATGAATTCTGCATTGACCTCATCTTCCTGTACACTCTCTTTTCGGGGGGGTAACCGAAGAGCCCGAGGTGATAACATGGAAGGCTCTTCTTCACAAAAAAAGTTTCAGTGAATGAATCTAGAATGAACCATGGGACATGGAGGCCCACCATCTTTCCAGCCCTCACGACGTGATGATTCAGGCCACCATCGAGGGCAGGCTCTCAAGCTCCGAGGTGAGCGGACCAGGACAGAGGTTCCAGGCACCCACAGTCCTGAGTGGGTCGCAGGGGAGGGATGGGGCTCCACCACCCACACCCCTGCTCGGGGCTGGCAGCCATGCCTGGGCCGGTGAGCCTGCATGTAATAGAGCCTCCAGATCTAGATCCTCATTTGCAGGGAATCACAGAGAAAAGGGGATGGAGGGGTTAAAGGTCATTGCTGACACCAAGAGACATCCTGAATGA